GGGGGGGAGTAGGGCGGCGGATTGGGGGAGGGAGGTTGTCACTTTGAGGGGTAAAAAGTATAACTATTGTACTGTGTTATACAGCTGAAACTAATTTAAAAAAATGTTTATTTTACAATAAAATTTTTTTAAATAAAATTAAATAAATCACTATTTTTCTCCCTAACCCTTGTCCTGATTTACAAAATCAGTTCTGATTGACTTAATTAGGTTAATATATTTTCTAGTCACCAAGATTCAATACATTGGAATAATCTTTTTCTTTCACCTTTCTCAGTCTCCATTTTTACTTCTTTGAGCCTTCAAATGCATATTACATATTAAGTTTTATAATGTACATTAAAAAATATTCATCATTAAAAAAGAAACTGTACTCGTTTTGCAACTTTTCTGTAAATCTAAAAAGATTCTAAATTTAAAGGTTATGTTTTTTAAAGAGGAATAGGGCAAAGTATTCCCCAAACGCTAATGACTACCCTCATCTTGCAAGAATCCTCCTGGCTTGCTAGATAAGCCCAGTTGACAGGGATGACCCAGATCCAGTGTTATCTCTGCCACTGACCAACCATGTGACCTTGAGCAAATGATTTAATCTGTCTGCAGCAACTCCAGTTATCCATCTTGATTAGAAGCATAATAACACCCAAACCCTCCCTCCCTGACAAGGATTATGTATGGATGATATATGATAAATATGGACTTCAGTAGTCTGTCACGCTATCAAGTCAGGATGTTCTTAGTGCTATTTTCAGGTACAGAGTCCACAGTGGTTGTGGCGAGAGCTCCCAGCCTGGAGTGGGCTCATTCTAATCTGTGAAATGCCTCATGGGCAATACAAGAGGAGTTCATGGTGTTCTCCACATCTGAACTGCACCTACAGCCCAGATGAGTTTCTATTTGCAAGTTAAAGACAAAAGATACTGCTTGATGCTGTATATTAAATACAAACAATACTAAATGTTACTCTAGTTTTTCAAAAATTGGCGATCACCAAGTGTATTTATGTAGAAGATACAAATACATGTGGTTCTACCAACTGTTTTTAAAACATGGAAACTCAGCAGGCTTTTACCGTAAGTAAACAGCCCTCAATACTCACAGTGCTTCCCATGTATGTGTTCCCATGCAAGGAGGGCTTACAGTGTAGGCTGAGCAATGAGCATTAGCAGTCATGGTTTATAATTCGGCATTTCTAACACGGCCATAAAGACACATTTGAGGGAATAAAACAGGCATAACATGCAGAGCATCTGATGAGACAAACGCTGCCCAAGAGACTATGTGTCCTGCTTTCCTTTTACTCTTATGGTTTTTAAAAGAATAATGACATCTCTACAAATGGTTCAGAAATTACATTTCTTTAAAAAGGAAAACACTTTCTCAATAAAGTAGATATGAAGCATGCTCTTAAAACTCACTCTGCAGGGTTCAAAAACCGGGCATATACAAGGTGGGCTTACTACTGAGTCCTCAGATGACCAGATATATTAAATCAAAACTTAAACTCAAGCTTCCTGGTGAAAACACAGGAAGGTCCTAAGGCGATGTGGGGGCCATGTGGACACTGGCCTAATTACCCTACCCTGGCCAGGCTCCTTTGCTCTAGATTTTGAAGAGTCCATACCAACACCCAGAATTAACAATTACCAATCATAAGTATCCAATTATCACCCCGTGAAAAAGCACGCAGGGAACAATATTTTTTGACATGTATTTTTAGTTTCACCAGTTCCA